ACGCCTTCTATCGCGGCATCCTTCGGATAGTATACTTCGACGAGGAAAGCTCAATCATGCTCTCGCTACCGGCGGCCATCAACACTGGTCACGTGAGTGTCCAGAAACAATATCCGCTGGGCGTGGGTATAGCTCTTCGCGGAGACCAGGACAAGTACCCGGTGGAGTCAGAGCTTGTTTGGACTACACCAGAACTGCGTCACCGATCCTACAAGGTTAATTACATTCGCAAGTCTGACACTGGGAAGAGGGACGTTCTCGCGGCACTGGATGAAGACGTCATTGACCAGCACAGTGGAGAGATCGGCAAAATAATACTAGGGGCTTCTACTAGCAGGGGGGAACCAAGTCACGAGACGAGAAAATCAAGTGTTGAATCCGTTGACACCGTGTCATGCCTGCAAAAGCCACAACGATTCAACATCAAGGAGGCAATACTTAGGGACATTCTGAGTTTGGAATTCGACGGCCAGGAGACGATTGTAAGTGTCGATTTGACAACAGAGGCAACCGAAGACTCCAATGGTTCAGACTCAAACCCTGGAGAGCCATCGGATGTTGACATATAGAAGGCAGAATTATATTTCGTTAAGGAGGTTTGCACACCTCCTTTAACTTTCAGGAACCAAATCTTCAGAAACATTTCTATTTCAGCACTGATCATCACAGTTCATTTTCATCACATTTTTCCCTCACTGAACGTCAACTGAATTTATAAAAATTCTATTGTGTTTGTAGTTTAGAAACCTCTTGCAGTCCTCCTCCCCTTGAGGAAAATAATTTAATTGTAGTTGTGCTGTATTTTCACACTCTTGACTAGAGGTCTCATATAAACCAGAAAAAATTATTATCCACTTACCTTAAACAAGCTTTGAATTTGTTTAGCTCTCTGGTGTGGTAGGGCGTTTTAGTTCTCAAAAAGCTGCCCACAATAGAATCCCTAGGCATGTGGGTATACGTCTCGTTATAAACTTTACATTGACCGCAACCTATCAAGGTGTGTAAGGTACATTGACCGCAATCGTTAAAAGTTTGCTCAAGCAGGACATACTTGCCAGTCAGTCAGCGTCAGCAGCCTCAGGATAACGGGGACTAGCCTCAAATTCCTGGACAAATGGTGCCAGGCTAACGTCCAGTTAGGAGTTTTCTAGTTGAGCATAAGCAAACGCGATTGCTAGAACCAGAATGTTTCTTGCTTGACTTTTCGGATTCCAGCTGGAACCTGTCTTCAGTGACAGCGTCGGGGAGTTGCAGTATTTATCGACTGCAGTCACCCTTATCGATTTAATTTGCCCGCTTATGGGCTAACCGACCGGCCTGTAGGTGGGAACCTACTGACATTTTATCACTCGCACTGGATTTTGGCGTTATGAGGGCTCGGCCAGCTGACTCACTGGCACTGGTGTTGGTAAATATGTTCGTCTGTGAGCTCCTCGCGTGACGATTAGGCTCGGTCATGCCCATTCTCAGCACCAAATAGGCGCTGGGGAGGTCAGTTCAGTTGTTAATAGACTGGGAGCTCGTAAACGGATCGCATCTGCTTCTCCACAATTATTGATACGCTCTTGGTGACGCGATTGTGGGCTACACTGCCAATCAATCAATTTTAAGCATCCATTTGAGGCCGAATATCAGGCTCCACATCGCAGTTCATTGCTTATAGGATTATAATAATACCTCTGGGTCAGTTGTGGAGCTCCGCCTGGTTATAGTCCGTGCAAGCTATGGCCAAATTCACCCACCTCCTGTGATATTTTAGCCGTTACAATCAGAGCCACGCTGTTCAATACCTTACGGAGAAATTAGCCATAAGCGGTTCCCTAAAAAAACTGCTAGTTCATGCTCGGTTGCTGCGCCGGCCGAGGCTGTTAACACAGTTGTATGCTTACCGCTTGTGTCCCGAAAGTTTTACGACCTGTGCCTGCTACTTGTGATTAGCACAAACTCCTAGCTAGCCCAGCTGTGTCGTCCCGAACGTCCACGGGGAGCAAAAAAAGTCAATCGGCCAGGAGGAGACACACAGAACACGTCAAGGCAACAAAGTGCAAGTCAAGCAAGTCACTCCCATAAAAAGCTGAGGGGTATTTATTCAGACATCTTGATGAGGGAGCGTTGGCGACACTGGACCAATCAGCTATGAGAAAAAATCGATAGCTAGGGTGCGCAC